GGATATCGTGGGACTTAGTAATTGGGGTTATAAGTAAGGTAACTACGGCTATAATTACATATACCCTTAATGAAGGTACTTAAAACCCTACTTACTAGGTCCCATGATCCTCCAAGTAAACCCTAGCAGGACAAATAAGGCTCCAAGATCGGCACAGGAATGCTAGGCAGGAAGAGGAATGTCTGGGCATAAAAGCAGAAGACATCAACACTGGAATAAAGGTCTTTTGGTGCTGAACTTGGGGTTTTAGGGTTTAGGATTAGGGTTTAGGGTTGATGAACTATGGAGGTAAAGGGCACAAGATCACTAAGAAAACCCGTCCCACAAAGCTCCAGTCCTATGCGCCCAACAGCTTGAGTACCTGATCCCCTCCTTCGACCCTTAGTCAAAAACTTGAACATCCTCCAGAAACCTGACGTCTCACCCCTATATATATATATATATATATATATATATATATATATATATATATTCGTTTTTCATATATACATATATGTATATATGGGTATATGTATATATGTATATATGTATATTTGTATATATGTATATATATATATATATATCGATCGAGAGAGAGCGAGAGAGAGAGAGAGAGAGAGAGAGAGAGAGAGAGAGAGAGAGAGAGAGAGAGAGAGAGAGAGAGAGAGAGAGAGAGAGAGAGAGAGTGAGAGAGAGAGAGAGAGAGAGAGAGAGAGCCCTAAGAGCCAAAGTCCTGAAGGCCCGAAGCCCAAAACCCCCCGAGCCCCGAAGCAGTCCGGCATGGTGAAAACCAGGAAGTTCTTCTCTGTCAGCATCTGCACAAGGTCACTCAAAACAGTGCCTTAGCAGAGGCAAGTAACAACTAACACATACAAGACGTGGGTGTTTTAAGCATACGGAAGGACTGAAAGACTCAACAATTTCGTGGGTTCGTTGTCGAGATCTCAAAACTGGGCTCTTGTTAAAGCCTGTACTTTAAGTTGCCATAGTAAGGATCCCATTTTATATTTACTATAGATCCATATTATGGTAACTTAAATCAAGTTCCTTCACCCCTAGACCCTTAAAGAGCCCTTTAAGGAACCCTCAATTACGGCCGTTTTAAACAAACAAGAACCCAGAAAAACATGAGCATCCGACGGTCTCGAGGGTGTTTGGAGTCGGGGTGTTTTACCTCCACGGCCTGGTTTTAGAAGGTTTGCCTTAACCTTGAATATCCTACCTTTTTCAGGATTTATATAAAGAAATCATAGTAAGGAGCCCTAGAAAGGAAGATTCTTCAGGTTTAAGGTGTGTCTTACCTGAACCCTCGAGAACCTTCCCCCGATAATGGGTTTAGGGTTCAGGGCTTAGGGCTTAGGTATGGTCTAGTCAGCCTAGTGTTGAAGGGTAATCAACATCGAAACCCAAGGCATCGCAGGCTACAATTATTTGCGCAACATCGGACCAAGGTGATCGTGCCTTCGGCAGCTTCCAACCAACCTTACACTCAACGGCGAAGTCATTTAGCTTTAGAGGGTTTCTGAATATGATGATTAAGATTCCGGATTGAGGGTTTACGCTAATTACCTATAGGGGTCGAGAGAGGTAGCATTATTGAATATTGAGGGTTTTTGGTCCCGAAACCCTTTTCAAATCTTCAGGCCGCCATACAAACGGCTTTATAAACACAACAGCCTATGAACTCGCATCACTCCCTTCCAGTAACCCTTAAACTGAAGGAACCCTGGAAATACTGTTGATGATATAAATCCTGCATGAGCCATAGTAAGGAATATACCATAATTCCCATATTTTGGGGCCCTTAAGGTAATGCAGGATTTATATCATCAACCGTATTTAAATCAAAATAAAGAAGTGGGAGTTTCCGAAATTAGGGGATCCTAATATGGTACCCTACATAGTAGGATCCGTATTATAAGGACTCCAGAATGGGGCACCCCTAATTTTCGGAAACTCCCGAGTAGGTTCTATCCCTAAGGGTCCAAGTACCCCAATAGTAGGGTTTCAAGCTCCAAAAACCACTCAGGGCATGGATTTTGGGATCTAAAACCCTACTATTTGAGTACTTGGACCCTCTGGGTATGGGTGCACCCTAAACCCTAAACCCTAAACCCCTAAACCCTAAACCCCTAACCCCTTAACCCTAAACCCCTAAACCGTAACCTCGGGGTGCGGTTTGGTGGCTCTTGCCGCCGCAAGGACCGCCGGTCAGCACGACGCGGTACACCTCTGCAGAATCTAGGGTTCAAGGGTTTATGGTCCCGGTTCCTTCATGGGTTCCTCTCAGGCCTCTGTAAGGCTGTCAAAACATGCAAATTTGTAGGGGATTGTCAAGGTTTGGTGGTCCAAGAGACTCCGAAATGCCGAGCTCGAGGTTTCGGTGTTTTGTGCCCTTCGACATGCAGGCTCAGATGCTGGAAAGTCTTGTTCATGAAGGATTTGTCAATTTGGAGCCAGAAGGTGCTATAGGTTCCGAGTTGCCGCATACGGGCGCAAAGGAGTAGTAGTTCAAACGGTGTGCTTGGTCGTCTCCGCCGCCTGCACTCGTCCCCTTCGTCGGTTTGCCGCCATGTTAATAGTGGTCCTGGCAGTTTTGGTCGTAGTGCTATAATTACTTGTAGTAGTTGCAATGGAAGCTCCATTGTTTAGGGTTTAGGCGTTGTAGCGTTTCTAGGGTTAAGGGGTTCTAGCATTTCTAAGAAGTGGCCCTGGAACCTCAAGTCCTGGACTTCAGGCACCCTTGGAAGCGGCGCGACCTCGGCCGAGAAGACCTCGTGGAAGGGTTGGCTAAATCATTAAAAATACTGAACCCCCCAAAAAAACGACAACACTATGTTGGGTGGTGTTCTTTGTTTGTTCATGGTATATAATATAACCCCCCACACCTTATTCAAATGATTAACGCCCACTTCTTTTTCCCACACCGCCTGTGGGCTGGAGGCCAGCCCGGATCACACCCGGATTTTCGCAGTAGAACCCAGAGACTCCAATACCCCTTAATTCGGGCATATTCTTTAAATCATATTGGGGATCCTACTATAATTTAAGGTATACGCCTTAATTAAGAGATATTGGAGTCTCTGAGGAACACTAAAAGGAACCCTCAAGACCTTGAACGACCCGAATCTTACGCAGTGGGCAGCGACATGAAGCGGCTGTAATCACAAACTGAGAACCCTACACCTTACTAAAACCCCAAATCCTAAAATCCTAAACGGCCCTTAACCTCATAAAGGGAACTCCAGAAAGTTGGAATATGGATTAATGGTAGGCTTCCCTATAATTTACCTTAAAGGGGTTACGATAATGATATTCCAACTTTCTGGCTTCTACTGTAAATCCTAAACCCTATACTGTAAGCCCTGGTTAAACGCCACGACCCTCCAGAACTTCCTTTACTGCTGCGAGAGGCCTTCCCGCGCTGCCAGAGCTCATCTTCCAACCTTAGGGTTTTAGGTTAGAAGCTGCCCCCACCCTGTAATAGTGACCATAAGGATTATATTAGGGCCCTATTATATTCCTATTATGTTCCTATTATACCACTATTACAGGGTGGGGGCCCCTCCTAAGTTTTAGGTCGTTTATAGGGCCTGAGGGTTTAAGGCTTTAGAGGTCTCGGTTTGGGGCTTCAGTATAGTGCAAGGGTATGATGGTTGTTTATGGGCTCATGTAAATTTTCTTTAAGGATGGTTTAGGGTTTGGGGTCATGCCTGAGTGGGTTGTATCGGGGCTCTACGTGGTCTTGCAGAGTCTTCTACGGATTCTTTGAGGGATTGAACTCACGACGAGTTCTAGAATCAGAAGGGACCACGCGCTTTGAGGACTTTGGGGCGCTTGTACAGGGGCCTTAGTCATCAAGCCAGGGTTTCGAAGTATGTAAGTCATAATATCGTGATATAAACGCTGTAAGGGGTCAGCTGACCCTAAACCCTAAACCCTACAGGGTTTTTTCAGAGCTCGATAGTTGGGCGGCTGATTTACGGCGGAGGGCACAGGATTCGGAGTTCAGGGATAGGATTCCGGGTGTATTTCGGTTTGGAGCCACTTTCCGAAGACTAGTTCAGGCTTGCAAACCTACGAAGGTTGATCCGTGCTGGCCTAGGCATAGACCGAAAGCCTCATTTTGTATGGTCTTAGGGCCCAAAAGCCTTGTTTTGTATGGTCTTTGGGCCCAAAAGCCTTTAATAGATATCCCTAGGGTGGGATCCTCCCTGACCATTTATCTTCGGGGGTAGAGAGGTCTGTACTTAAAGGATCATGGGACTTAGTAATTGGGGTTATAAGTAAGGTAACTACAGTTATATAAGGTACTTATAACACTACTTACTAAGTCCCATGATCCTCCAAGTAAGCTTTCTCGCAGCCGCTTTATGTGCATGGGACTTCGTTTAGCAGAAACGATGTCCGGACTTGTTAAGGGTTCGTCAAAATCTCGAGCAGAAAGGGTGGTGACATGGGCGGTGCTTGTCCTTTTCAGTCTTCGTCCGGATGAAAATCGCTAATTGGCAGCAGGAAGGACATTAATGGCAATGTCAATAGCAACAACTGTACTAGTCCATGGTTGGGATAACATTAGCCATCTAAAGTTCTGTTCCGTCTTGGTTTTAAATGCCCACAGACAGGAAAATGTTACTCAACTATGACAAAGTGTAGGGCTTTTGGGGATGAAGCCTCCGACTTCGGTTTCCTCTGGATAACCCTAAACCCTAAACCCCTGAACCCTCAATCCTCCGGGTTGAAGGCTGGCATCACTGGAAGCCTCAGCCTTCTGGCGATCCGTAGATGCCATAACCCCAAGGGTCCAAGTACCCAATAGTCATATACTCTCCAAAATCCTAACCTACATAACTACTCTCCTAAAACCGAGTAACTAATTATTGGGTCCTTTGGACCCTTGGGGTAAGGTCTTATGACACTGACTGTTTAGGGGTTAAGACAGTGCCAGTACCAGCAGAAACAACAAGACTATCACCAATGCGACCGGTCATCACTGCCGAAACGTTACCATGGTTTCACTCCTAGCGATGAAATGCCAATGTTCGCACAAAAGGCAATCTTTTGGAATCCAGTGGCGACCTCATCTTGGTCAGCAGCTCGGTGTCGTCGCCTTCACCACGCTCCCGCGCCTTTGACACGAGCAAGTCTTGCGTACATCCACGTACCCTGAAACTTAAACTCTGTATAGAGCCCAAACCCTGCAACGCTACAAACAAAAAACTATGCAAGTCCGACTACTAGCTGACGAACCTTAAGCCACATAACCCTAGACCCTAGCACAAATCATAATCCTGTCCGTTTGGGCTCTTTTTGTAAGGGCTGCTTAAAGGGTTCTCATAATTGTCTTCTAGAAGGGCATGGGGTACCTGTGGGTTGGGACTTGTATGGGGGACTTTACAGATTACAAGTAGAATACGGGTTTGGTGGTACACGATATTATGGATCCATTATGGGTCTTAGGAAATGTAATTGGATGCCTCTACCGATAGTTGTCAAACCCCCATATGCTCTATGTCTGAAACTTTATTCTGTTTCTTGCGGTTCTGGGCTTCTAGTATTTTCTCATTATCATAATACTCGGTCCCCAGCAACAGCGGGTCACACCCTTTCTCCGACCATTCAGTTTTCATACAGAGACCCCCAAAACCAAAAGGCCCTAAGGTGCGCTAAACCCTAAACCCCTAAACCCTAAACCCTTAAACGCTAAACCCTGAACCCCTAAACCCTAAACCCTTAAACCCTTAAACCCTGAACCCCTAAACCCAAAACCCCTAAACTCTAAACCCTAAACCCTTAAACCCTTAAACCCTTAAACCCTAAACCCCTAAACCCAAAACCCCAAACCCTTAAACTCTAAACCCTACAGGTTGGGGGGTCTGACGGTCTTCGGGTGCTGGCTTCTCGATGTGAGGCTATAGGAAACCCTTGAGACATGAGCGGCTTAAGGGTTTAGGGTTTAGGGTTTAGGGATTCTTCCTGCAACGGTTTAGGGTTTAGGAATTCTTCCTGCAACGGTTTAGGGTTTAGGGTTTAGGGATTCTTCCTGCAACGGTTTAGGGTTTAGGGTTTAGGAATTCTTCCTGCAACGGTTTAGGGTTTAGGGTTTAGGGATTCTTCCTGCAACGGTTTAGGGTTTAGGGTTTAGGGTTTAGGGTTTAGGGATTCTTCCTGCAACGGTTTAGGGTTTAGGGTTTAGGGTTTAGGGATTCTTCCTGCAACGGTTTAGGGTTTAGGGTTTAGGGTTTAGGGATTCTTCCTGCAACGGTTTAGGGTCTAGGGTTTAGGGTTTAGAGATTCTTCCTGCAACGGTTTAGGGTTTAGGGTTTAGGGATTCTTCGTGCTGAGACTGGGTTTAAGTTTGAATGTATACCGCAGTCACGTCCATCATTGCTCTTCCTCTCACCCTCAGCCCTTAACTGGGCAGCATGTGGATGTGCTTCTTGCATTGGAATTTGGGATATCGTCGACACAGGAATCCAAAACAATGAATCTATCGGAAGCTGGAAGTGAGGTTTCGGGGTGTGGGCTTTAGGGCTTTACGGGCGCCTCTGTACCTAGCCCTAGATGGGATGACACTATGACCCCACATTACAAAGCCTGTCATTTCAGGCATGAACCCAGGCTCCCGAGAGGATCTAAAAAGTAGATCCCCTCATTTGGAATCCTCCTAAAGATCTACTTTTTGGATACTCCCGGGGTTCTGGGAAGGGGTTGAGATGAGGTGCCGACTGGCTACCTGTCCAGGGCTGCGGTGTCCCCCAAGTGCAATGCTTCTGCTTTCATAATGCCTGCAGCCTCTCTTCGGTCATCAACTCAGTTGCTGAGTTCATAAGCCCCCAAAAGTGTACACTTTCAGTTTTATAGTGGGTAATGCTTCACTCTGATGGGAGGCCGAAAGGGGGGTTTACGATTCTTGGGGTAGGGATTCCTTAATATGAACCCGATTATTATGGGAACCCTAATCCCTACTTAACCCCCCCATAATGACACTCTACGACGAGCACTCGGATGAAACACGCAAGATCTGAAGGGTGCGAGGGCTTGTGCTCAGGGTGGAGTAGCTGCACCGTTGCGCGGTTTAGCTGCGGCCTGGTTAGGGATCAGTTAAGGGTTTAGTTGCCCTCGTCTGGGGATTTAGGTGATTGGGGGTCGCTGTGATTTTCAATAGCCCTCTTAGAGTTAAAGGGTTCATGGGACTAAGCTCTTGGGGTGGCACCTGAGAATGCCGGCATCTTGAAGCGATAATTTAGCTGTCCTTAGAAACAAAATAGCAAGTGTCGTCTTCTTAACGGCCTTCATACTACCAACAATAATAATTATATCAATAATAATGATCAGGAGCCCCAAACCCTAAACCCCTAAACCCCGAAACCCCTAAAGCCTACACTCAAACCTTCATCATTGTAAGAATAACAATAATGATAATGAACCCTAAACCCCGAAACCCTAAACCCCTGAACCCTAAACACTCAAACCATGATTCTAAACCGTAAACCCTAACCCTAAGCCCTAAACCCCGAAACCCCTAAAGCCTACACTCAAACCATAATTCTAAAACCTAAACCCTAACCCTAAGCCCTAAACCCCGAAACCCCAAAAGCCTACACTCAAACCATAATTCCTAAGAGCAGTACAGATAGAGCTTCGACCGGGGCTCTGACCGTGGCGATGAGCCGCTGAAGCTGATTCTCCTGGGCTTTAGGATTTAGGGTTGTCTTTTCTGTAAGGGTTTAGGGTTTAGGAATTAGGGTTTAAAGGTTTAGAGTTTAGGATTTAATTTTGTTCTAAGGGTTTAGGGTTTAGGATTTAGGGTTTAGGGTTGATGTAAGGGTTTAGAGTTTAAGACTTAGCTTTTGGTTTTTAAGGGTTTAGGGTTTAGGATTTAGGGTCTAGGGCTTAAGGGTTAAGAGTTTAGGGTTTACTACTGGTTTAGGGTTTTAGGGTCTTAGGGTTTAGAGCTTCGGGTTTGAGAGGTTTAGGGAATTGGAGGGAGTGGCAGGAAACACTTCGCGTAGTCTTGCAAATGCGAAACCGAATCACATTACAAATAGACCATAGTGACCATAGCCTACAGCTCACAGGACTCCTTCTTGATTTTTTAACCCTAAGCCCGAAACCCTCAACCGCAAAGCCCCAAGTTTTTCTAAGATGTTGAGTCATTCTGTCCAGTCTCTGAAACCCGCCATCACGCGGTCTGCCTGAGCCGGGAAACTAGACGCGCTTGCGCGAGGCGCGGTAGGCTGGATTTGGTTTAGCTGACCACCCCACATATCCCGGTCTGCGGTAACCCTAAACCCTAAACCCTAAACCCCTCCAACCCGTAGTTGTAGTCGGCATTGACCTGCCAGTTGCGCGGCAGGCCCAGGCCAAGCTTGACAAACTTCCCAAGAGTCGACCTCCCAATGCTCTTGAAAGTGGCCAGCTGATTCCAAAGCATGCGTCCAGGTACAGAGCTCGGTGCTCAGAAATGGGGGTTTTAGGGCTGCGGGGTGGGTATTCAGGGTTTAAGGCTTACTAGGTTTTGGAATTTTGAGGGCTGCTTGGATCTGGGTTTACAGGGAATGGGTGTTTGGTCGATTTCCTTCACTAACCGCCACTACTCAGATGCTAACCCCTGCGCCCGGCCCTCCCGACCCCGAAGCCCAAACCCCCAACCTCCCTCTCTCTCAACATACTATGGCACTAGCCCATATAAATGTAGTTACAACTTGAACAAACATTCGCACCGCTAGTGTGATTGGCAGCGTCAGGTGATCATGAGGTTGAGCATGAAACTGATGATGGCTCACCTATGATGATTGTCTATCTATACCCTATAGTTGTTACTAGTGTTCACTGGTATTGTTCATGCGATGATTATTTCTGTTCTTCGTCTTACCAGTTTTCGTACGACTAGAAACTGTTTACTACAGTACTCCCACCACCACTGCGCGTAGCAAACTCTTTGTCACTGTTTGTCATTGTTACTGATACTGAGTCGTATCATAGACCCCGCAAAGTTACTGTAAAAGAATTGGTTTTGGGCCACTATGTCATTAGGGTTTTCTTGTACACGTCCTTAAATTTCTAGAACCCGGATCCCTATACCCATTTAAAGCCCTACACCCTTAAAACCCTAAACCCTTGAAAGCTCAAACCCCGAACCCAAAGCCTCTCTCTCTCTCGCATGCGGACGTCCGGTGCGAAGCGTGCATGGCCAAAAGCAGCAAGCTGCAGCCAATTCAAAACACTATACAAACCCAGGGCCGCCGGAAAAACCCTCCATCAGACCAGTTGATGGGGGGCGGCCAACGAGAGCAGCACAGGCGGGGCGTGCGCCGCGAAGTCCAGAAGCGACAAGGACGAGCCAAGAGGTGCGAAAATCCAGGCCGGGCGATCCGACACCACAGTGAGAGACCACGCTGCGTTGGGGCACAAAGCCGACAGAACGGCACGAAGGAGCAGGCTGGGCGCAAGGTGGGAGCAGAGGAAGTGACCCTGTGAGACAAGGCGCCCAAGATGAAGCAGGGAGAGCGTGTGCCGAAGCAAGAGCTCAGGCCCCAAGGCCAGGGCACTGCCTGTCGCAGGGCAAAAGGCAGGGAGAGTACTGCCTTGTTCCAGAGCAGCGACGACAGCACGGAAAGAGAACCCAAAGCCCTAAGATCCTGAACCCTTAGCCATAAACACTAAAGCCCTAAAGCCCAAACGCCTAATCCCGAATCCATAAACCCTCCAACCCTACACCGCTTTTCCAAGCCTACTTGTCGCGTATCATGGGGAACTGAAGGTTCACCTTTTTGGGTATATAGGGGTTATATAGGGCCCATACTGCCCAAAACAAGTTAAAGGATGCCAAATCTACTACATCCAAAATCCTACAGCAAAGGCCCAAGACCCTAAACCCTTTAAGGGCACCCAATATCCTAAACCCTAGACCCAAAACCCCTAAACCCTCCAACCCTAAACGGGTTTGTTTAACCCTACACCCTAAACCCTAAACCCTAGACCCAAAACCCTAAACCGCTTTTCTGGGGGCATGGCGACGACGCGGGAAGCCTTGGCCGGTTCTGCGCGGACTTGGCCACGGTAAGAAGGCCTCAGCCCCAGCACACCACTAACATGCCCAGTAACATAGGAATAAAAAGGGCTCCCTTTTTAGTATTGGGTGCCTTAATAAGGAACCTAGGACTACAAAAAGGTAAGTAAGGGTACTACTGGGCATCCTAGCACACCAAGGCCATTTGGGAGTTTCCGAAAATTAGGGTTCCTTATTTGGGGGTCCTCATAAAAAGGATCCTACTATTTCGGGTACTGTATTAGGGTCCCCTATTTTCGAACACTCCTATTTCGAGTGGCATATGTGGGTTTGATAAAGGGTTTTGGGACAGGTTTGTGGGATTTTATCAGCATGCATGTATGGAGCTTAGGGCTTGAGGCTTGGGGAAATCTGTTTATCAAACTTTTGGGGGCTGTAAACGAACTGATAAAGGCTTCTATGCTAATTCTGGTTCATTGAAACTGCAAAGCCATTTTCATCTCAAAACCCTTAACCCTAAACCCAAAGCTCTAGACTGCACGACTCCAGGACTCTGGTGGAGGGCCACGACACCCTAAGCCACTCAGCCAGTATCCCTCTGCTTTGCCTTCGGTCGATCGCTAAGTTGTGGAAACTTAAGCACGTCATAAGGCTTCCGCTTTTGTTTTGCCGGGTTTTGCACCCGCAGCAGATTCAATCTTTGATCACCCACTTCGAAGAAGCCTTAAAACCGAGGACGAGCCTTAAGAACCTCAACCCCTCAACTCTGAAACCCAGGGTTTGGGGGTTTAGGGTTCAGGTGGGCTTCGGGCCTATCCGAAACTCGGTGAACTCCGGCTCGGTGCTTCGAATACGACTGAGGCACCTGAGTCCACTTCCATGGCTGCCATCACGACGCGAGGGGAGTGATCCTGAAAAGGGCTCGCGCAGGGTCCATTCTTCCTCTGCTTATTCTTACTGTTATTGTTATTCTCGGGCTTAGTATTAGTCTTATCTATGATTATGTCAGCGATTTAGATTATTGTTATTAGCGCTAGTTCTCTGTAACAATCACATTGCTAGTATTACTTCTACCACTATTATTCTTTATTGATTTCTACTAATATTGGTACTGCTAGCATTTTTTCATTAAGCAGTAGTCGTAGTCGTCGTCATCGTGGTAGTGGTAGCGGTAGTGGTCGCGGTCGCGGTCGCGGTGGCGGCGGTGGTGGTGGTGATGGTAGTGGTGGCGGTAGCGGTGGTGGTAGTGGTCGTGGTATTGGTAGTGGTCGTGGTCACGGTAGTGTTGTTGTTGGTGGTGGTGGTGGTCGTGGTCACGGTAGTGGTGGTGGAAATGGGTAGCAGTATTACTACGCGTTTTAAGCCATGACAAGGGTCATTCAGGGTTCTACAAGAGTCAATGCTTTGTAGAGTTGTGGGGCCTAGAAGAGTCGCGGCTTGAGTACCTAGCTGATCGGATAGCTACTTAGGCCCGGTTTTGGTCTAAGGTTGGGCATTGATTTACTGAAAGTCTGAGGGTGTCTAGTGTTGGGTTTAAATTTTAGGGCTTAGGATGGCTACCCTAAACCCTAAACCCCAAATCTTGGGACTTCGGGTTTGACAAACAAGCTGCCATGTGACATTTCGTGTTGGCCAGATGCCCCAAAACGAACCTTCAAACATGCAGCATTTTCTCAACAAGCCTCTCCCGAACCTAAACCGTAAAATCCGAACACAACCGAACATCCCAACATGAGATGTTACCCCAAGGGTCCAAGTACCCAAAATCCTAACCTACATAACTACTCTCCTAAAACCGAGTGCCTAATTAGTGGGTCCCTTGGACCGTTGGGGTTAGGGAATAGACGCCCAAATCGCTGCAAAACCGCTCGAAGACTCAAACACGCCCAATTCTAAAACCCAAACTTAGAGCTTCCACCTAAAAGTCCCAATATAAGGGCCTTAATAATTAGAATCGGGTGCCTTTAAAGGGTTCCTTTGAAAGATAAGGGCGAATATAAGGATCTACTATAAGGGCCTTAATACTTAGAATGGAGTTTTGGGGCGCATGTTATTAAAACTATGACAAGGAATCCCCAAATTAGTGCAGGTAACTATGAAGGCCCACATATTAGACCCAAAAGCATTGACATAACCCAAACTCTGAACCCCAAAAACCAAAATATTAAAATATGAGAAAATCAAACCCTTATAGGCTCCAAGGACTCATATTTTAAGGCTTTTGAGCCCAAGACCATACCATATAAGGCTGCTGGGCTATTTTGAGCCGTAGGGAAACAGAACAACGCCATCCAGGCTGCCTGGTGTGGCCACCCAGGCGCCAAGAGGCACAGCGGCCAAAGGCCGTAAGGAACGCCACATCTGCCTTTTAGAAGATGTACGATGTTTGTTTTCTGTTGGTTTTTTTTGTGTCTGCTTGTGTTGTTTTTTGTGCGGGGATGGGGATTTATTTGGTATAGCACAGTATTGTTTAAAATCAGCAGCCTTAATGTAATTACTCAGGCTTCAGAATTCCGCTGATGCTGATGGTCAGTTGTGTAACCCGGCCTGTCAATCTCAATATTCGCTGAAGCAGCAGCCTTTCTAGAGGCAGAGGCAGAGGCGGTGGTGGTGCCAGTCCCGGTAGACGTACCAAGGGACTGCCACACCCCTGAATGAAGGACCACAGCAGGGTTTAGGGTTTAGGGCCTAGAATGGCCTTAATTTGTAGGGGAATCCATAACTTAACTTGGGTAGTTCTCTCAACTAGGGTCCCATTAGCGTCCTTTTGATATGAGAGCTACCCATACTGCTTGTTAAGCGGGTTTTGGAGTTTCTGCGTAGACACTGCAGCAGAAGCAACTGGCTCAGCTCCTGAGGTCTTGTCACGATCCAGGGTTTAGGGCTGTAGGGTATAGGGGTTTAAGGGTTTGGTTTAGGGCTTAGGGTTCTGAAGTTGCTGGTTGAATAAGCTGCATCTAGACTGCTCTACCCTAAACCCTAAACCCTAGCTGCAGCGTCCCTAAACCCTAAACCCTCTACCCTAAACCCTAGCTGCAGCGTGCCAAAACAGAAACATCCGACTCGACAGATCTGCGAAACCTCGAGCCGCCATGAAAGTGGTAGAAGCCTACTTAAAGCATCATGGGACTTAGTAAATCGGTTATAATTGGGGTTATAAGTCCCCTAAGTGGGGTTATCCTAGTATTATGACCTACTTATAACCTTGCGTACTAAGTCCCATGAGCCTTTAAGTAGAGCCAAACACAAAAAAAAACGACCTGACCGCACCAAACCCAAAGCTCTGCCAGAATCGGGAGTTCTTATATAAGAGCCTTAAGATCCTGAACCCCGCAGTGGTCAGAGCACTAACCCTAAGGATCCATGTGTACCTTCATAGTAGATACTTAAGCCTTAAAGGGTCCCTATATAGGTACTTCACGGCCTAAGTATATACTATATGGGGACATGGAGCCTTAGAGTAAGTAACACAAAGCCGTAGCCATCGCCACCTCGGCGCCCAGCAGGCTGCTGTCTACAGAGCTGGCGACTGTTTCTGTCGCTGTAATGTAGGGGGCCTTAATAATTAGAATAGGGTTTTGGGGCCATTAACCTATAGCTACAATAAGGAATCACCAAAATGGCTAGGCCCCCATAGTAGCTGTAGGGTTTCGGGTTCGGGGTTTAAGGTTTACGGTTCAGTTTATGGCTGAAGGTGTCAGGGTTAAGGGCTCGGTTTAGGGGTTTCGGGCTTTAGGGTTCAAGAATTTGAGGATTTTAGGGTTGAGGGTAGGAGGAAATTTAAGGATCAGGTTTTTATAGGTAGGATTTCGTGGGCTCTTAGCAGGCTTTACCGGGGCTCCAGCCTGCTTGACGTTCGATTCTTAGGTATCGGGATGGGTATTCAAAACTTAGGGTTTGGTATGGTCTAGCGTATATAGGGTTGTAGTTATAGTTCAGAGATTGGTTTGTAGAGCTTGGAATGTTCAGGACTTGGTGATGTCGCAAGGCTTTTCCGGATAGGCGGAGTTGTAGCTTAAGCTTGCTCTTATCTCCTTCGTGTCATATCTCACTGCTGGTGCTTTGGCCAAGCCAATGCTGCGGATTTCAGATGGAGACCCCAAACTCTAAAGCCGAAAGTCCTAGACCAGACCCTCAACCCTAAACTCCTAAAGCCGTTCGGTGATGCTACCTCGATGACAGCTTAAGCCCTCAACCCCCAGCCTCAAACCTTAACCGAACGCCAAATCCTATGCCCTAAAAACCCTAGAGACCCGGCACACCTTTATCCCTCGCAGCCTCATCCCTATTTCTTTAGACCTCGAAATACCCCAAGCTCTCAACCCACACCACATAATCCAAGCCCTGAACACAAACGCATCCTCGGGCAAGCAGCCTTAGATCTAAGGCGAGAGGGTGATCAGGCAGACAGTCTCGGCTTGGCAGAGATCGGGTTGAAGGTTCAAGATTCATAGGGATCCTTAGGGGTGTAGGGGGGAGGGGTGTAGGGGACTATATTTCCTTAAATAGGCCTTATTAGTCCTTATTATGGGCCTTAAGGCCCCCTACCCCCCCTCCCCCTACACCCCTAAGGATCCCTATGAAAGATGCAGCCCTGAGTCTGGTAAGTTCCTGCTGCTCACAGTACTTAAAGGATCATGGGACTTAGTAAATAGGTTATAAGTGGGGTTATAAGTCCCCTAAGTGGGGTTATCCTAATTATAATCTACTTGTAACCTTACTTACTAAGTCCCATGAGCCTTCAAGTATCTAAACCACCCAGTGCGCACCCAGCTTCTCCAAATGTTTTTGACACACCCATGTTGTTTTCCAAACCAGTGCCCACATCATAACATCAAGGCCTAAACCCTGAACCCTAAACCCTAAACCCTAAACCCTAAACCCTAAACCCTAAGATCCGCAGGTTCCATGCAGATCAGCCCGCCTGCCGCCCGATTCTGGACTGCCTGGGCCCCGTGCCCGAACTTATCGTGAAACCTCGCACGCTAAACTTCGAACCGCACGGAAGCCTGAAAGCAGTCCAGAAGCCATAAATTCGAGCCCCAAACCTATACCAGTATTCGAAAGCTAGGCCCTACACCCCAAATCGGAAACACCCCAAATCGGAAAATTGACACGGAACGCTCAAACTACCCATAGGCTCCATGGTAGTTCCTTTTGGGAATTCCCTTCTCATCGGATTCCAAAGATGAAGCCAATAAGGAACCACTCTACCCAGAGACTCCAATATCCCTTAATTAAGGAATATTCCTTAAATCATATTAGGGATCCTACTATAACTTAAGGTCTATTCCTTAATTAAGGGATATTGGAGTCTCTTAAACCCTAGACATCCCTTGTCGGAGTCCTTAAAGGAACCCTTATAGATCCCTTTAATAGAAGCCCACTACAGGTGGGTAGTTCCTCTTCCATAAGACCCCTTTACCTTATAGGAGTGGTATGGGAGGCTTATGGGAGACTACCCCCCTTATAACTACCCACCTGTAAATGGCTTAGATTTTAGATCCCTTTAAGGAACCCGAGAGTCCCTGGGTGTGAACCCCCCGACCACAGAGACCCTTAGATCGACCCTTCCACCAGAAGGTAAACACCACTGCGAGCCCCTGCGTCAAGGCCGCCTCCCCCTAAAACCCTAAACCCTGCAGCCTAAACCCTAATCCCTGAAGCCTAAAGCCTAAACCCTAATCCCTAAACCCTGCAGCCTAAACCCTAATCCCTAAACCCTGCAGCCTAAACCCTAATCCCTAAACCCTGAAGCCTAAACCCTGAAGTAAACCCTAATCCCTGAAGCCTAAACCCTCCAAACCCTAAGCCCTAGGCCCTCCGACAAACCTGCAACCCGGTCGCAAGCCTGAGGCTTAAAGCCGCTAGCCTTGCCAAAAAAACAGGCGAAGGGTGTACGGTTTATGGGTCTTGGGGTTTAGGGTTTGGGATTTGGTGTAGGGTTTATGGGTATAGGGTTTTGAAGTAAGATTTCGGGGTATCGGGTTTGGCGTTTCGGGTTTGGGATTTGAGGGTTTGGGTATATAGGGATTTGGTTATGAGACTGTCGGGTTGAAGGTTTATAGGGTCTAGCATTTACGCTATAGTGTTTGGAGAAGCCCTTGTCGGAATTCAGCATCATCGCCAGTATCTTTCAACTCGCAATGCTACTGCTCCACACCGAACTCGCCACTACCATGAGCTTATAGAATGCTCCTATTTTCAACCTAACACTATCACAACCGTCCTCCTGTGCGAACAGCCAAAGCCTCACGCCGCTAATCGCGTGCCTCATCGAGCGATTGCAGCCGCTCTCTGATGCCGCAGAGAATTCAGGACTGCCTTTGCTGCTGGTGGGATCATTCGAGGTGCAACTTCGAAGAGCAAAGAGTTGCTTGCAATGCAAGGCCATCGATCACCTGGTGGTGGGATCATTCGAGGTACAACTTCGAAGAGCAAAGAGTTGCTTGCAATGCAAGGCCATCGATCACCTAGTGGTGGGATCATTCGAGGTGCAACTTCGAAGAGCAAAGAGTTGCTTGCAATGCAAGGCCATCGATCACCTGGTGGTGGGATCATTCGAGGTGCAACTTCGAAGAGCAAAGAGTTGCTTGCAATGCAAGGCCATCGATCACCTGGTGGTGGGATCATTCGAGGTGCAACTTCGAAGAGCAAAGAGTTGTTTTCAATGAAAGGCCATCGATCACCCGGTGGCGGGCAACTCCTGCGCACGGCTTGAACGAGATCGCTACGCAGGTGCGCTCACGCGACTTCGCGAGTCGCCCGGCGCGGCCATTCGGCTGGAGCTGGTGCGAGGAACGAAGTGCAAAATGGTCTTCGCTTCGCGATAATTCTCCAAATCATCAGTGACGGCACATCATGCATATGGCTACCATAGACTGCAGTCAGAACACATCATAGTACAGGAACTATGCTGGGTGATACGGTTGATGATATACATCCTGCATTACCCAGAATAAGGAATATCCCATAATTCCCACAGTTTAGGGTCCTTAAGGTAATGCAGGAATATCATCAACCGTATTGCCCCTCTCAACATTTCACCGACCAACACTGCATAAGAAGCCCGGGTCTCGCCATGCGGCACTCGGCGGCTGGGAGATGAGGACATTGTAAAGGCCCCTGGGCTGCACCTTGGGAACTTCAATCCGATGCAACAGAGGGAAACACCAGGAAACATTAAACTTTATGATATAAATATATGATAACTTGTAAAGGCACGTGGGCTGCACCTTGAGTGGAGGGTCGGGGGACTTAGTAAGTAGGTAGTTTATGGGTGGTTGTCAAGATTAGGGTCCCTTTATGGGTCCCTATTATAGTACGGCACCTAATATTTAGGGTACCCAGCAAGGGACTAT